CCCCCCAGCTCCTACTACCATTCTTTCCAAGGTTACATTTCATATTTTATGTGTTCTATACCTATGCATATACTAGTTGTTGTCTCCATTGAAAGTATAAGCTATTTGAGAACAGGAACTCTTTCACTTTTGTCTTTGAATGTCCAGTTTCTAGCACATAGTAAGTACTTAACTAATACTGGCTTTCTTTCTTATTTGATTGGTACATTAACAACAATGCTTATAAAGGGAAATGACACTGTTTTAATGGTGTTCTCCCTGGAGATTTCGTGATTTAAGCCATGTCTATATTTGCAAAGTAAATTAGGCATTTCATGTAACTATATCTCTATTGAAGAAGACAAAACAACCAAGCACTTTCCTATGCCTTGATAAGCTAAATACTTTCTGATTTTTCACATCAGCTTAAGAAATCTTAGGGAAATCAATACTCATGCACTCCTGGAGATATATTTAAGAATTAAACATTTCTTCTTTTTTCTGAGTCTTAACATCTATATTACTATGTTAAATAAAGGCATCGGTTGGCAGCTTTTGCAAAAAGATGTCTGCTGAGATGGTGAAGTTTGAGGCAGTTGGTAAGTGATCTAGTGACTATCCCATAATGATTACATCACAGCTCTCCTTTGTTTATTACCTAGAGAATTTCTGATAGTAGACATCTCCTTGATTTCTAATTCATCAACAATATCAACCCAGTTTTGCTGCATATGAATGATGGACGGATGGATGGATAATATGCATTTTTTAACCACTTACTATATGCTAGTTACTGCAATAAATGCTTGAGAAAATATTCAAAGAGATAAAATTCCCTGCCCTCAAGGTGCTTACATTCTAAGAGAGGAATACATCACACAAAGAAAAGTGGTGTCTAGAGAAGAATTGGGAAGTCATAGGGATGGTGAATTGGGCAGTGGAATAGAAAAGCAATTGACTAACACACTCTTTCCAGAAGATGTGTTTCCTATAAAAATAGATGGCAAAGAGACCATCAGATTCTATAGATCACATAATGCATGCTGAAAAGGTTAGACATGAAGGATCAGCAGTGACTCTTTTTTTTTTTTTTTGGTTAGGCAATGGGGTTAAGTGACTTGCCCAGGGTCATACAGCTAGCAAATATTATTTGTCTGAGGCCAGATTTGAGCTCTGGTCCTCCTGAATCCAGGGCCAGCACTTCATCCATTACACCACCTAGCTGCCCCTAGCAGTGACTCTTAGCCAGTGATGTTTGCATATTTGACATTAAACTCAATATTGTTTTTATTCAATACATTAATATCAACATCTAACCTTGGTAACATTTTAAAATAAGTATATATGATTGCCATTTAAGGCATTAGACAGGAAAACTGCTGGAAAAGTCATCATTTTACTGTAAATATTATTCACATTTCTTGAAGGAACTAATTGCTTCCTAGCTAACATGAGTATCTATACATTTATGATCATCAAATATAAATGTCATTTTTCTATGCACAATGCTGGAATTAACTATCCAGTACTAAAGTAGGGCAAAGTTACCATTCTATAATAAACTCTGTCTGCTAGCTGGAAATTTCTATGAAGGGACCCTCTGGAATTATTTTTAATTTTTCTCTGTGTGTGTCCTACAGGTACAGTTGTGCTTAAGCAAAGTGATTCATTTAAGCCTCAGGTTCAGCATATCTATACCCTCTATCATTCATACACAAATATGTGTGTGTGTACATGCAAGACATTGGCCAGGGTTTCATTAACTATAATTTGTTTAAAAGCCATTGCTCGTAGTAGCATTTTTAGGTTTGTGAACAACCTGGTACAAGTCTTATTTTAAAAAAAACAGTAACCACAACAACAAAACTCAAGAGCTTTGGAGGAAACACATTGTTTACTCATTTTTTTTAAAGTGCCCATTATGTGGTTATTGGAATGAGAAAACAAGTTTTTTTTTTCCCTTGATGTTCTCATATTAATTTATGAGATATGCAAAATAGATTTTGAAGAGAATTGTCTCCTGTAATACTAAAACATACACATATGAAACAATCTTTTTCTATACTTTATAATCACTATTTTTTTCTTATTTGCATTGTGCCATTTATTGCACCAAGAATGTTTTCTCTATTAAAGTGTGGGAGAGGGGAAAAAATCCCTGCTGTCCAAGTCACTACCTCAATTACCTTTCTGGGTCTGTTTCCTCATCTATGAAATGAAAGAGTTAAACATTAAACCTCTAGAGTCCCTTCTGGCAACAAATTGTATTGTCCTATGGTATTAAAATGAATTCCGTTTCACTGAAAATACTTCCATACTTTGTTACTCTTATCTCATTCTTCAGTAGAGAGAGTGAGGATCACAGTGCATCCATGTCTCCTTATCCTATGCAATCCTTGTATATGTCCACCTGGAATTCTTTATATAAAGTCTGTCCAAAACTATTATTTCTACTCCCTCTTTTTTTCTCTCCACTTAAAACCAGCAGAAAAGAGCTAATATTAGTTCTGTGTGACCTCTGTGTGTCCTATTTAACTTCTTCAATGCCCTTTAAAACATTAATGTTTTGAAGTGACAATTGTTTCATTTTCTTCTATCAGAATGATAGCCCTTCATCATTATAAAGTCCCTTCTAATTGCTCAAATAAATATGTGTTTCTAGTTTTCTCTTGATGCTTGTGTTTGTGTTTCAAAATTTCTAATCTTGTTTTATGAGTAATGCTTTAAAATCCTCCATTCCATCAAAAGTTTGTTTTCCCTCCTCTAAGATTATACTCAGGTTTGCAGTTTAAGTTATTCTTGTAAACCTGTGGGCTTTTGAAATATTGCATTCCAAGATCTCCTCTCATTTTAGGTGGAAGCTGTTAGGCCTTGTGTGATCCTGACTGTGGCTCCTTGCTACTTTAAGTGATTTTTTCTGGGTGTTTACACATTTTTTCTTTGAGCTGGGAATTTTAGATTTTGATTGACGTCCTTAAGACTCTGCCTTTTGGGGTTCCATTCAAGAAATGGTTAGTGAATTTTATTTTCATTTAATCCTCCTGTTCTAATTGATCTGGACAGTTTTCATTTAGGAGTTTTTGAATTATAGAGTCCATTATTTTTATTATAATGATTTTTGGGGAATCCAATGGTTCTTAAATTATCTCTCTTTGACCTGTTTTCCAGGTCATTTGTTTTCCATAATCAATACCTTAAATTTTCTTATGTTTTTAAACTTTTGAGTTTTGTTCTATTATATCTTGCCATCTCACAAAGTTATGGATTTCTATGTGGTCTATTCTAATTTTTCAGGGTTTCTCTTACTTAAGCAATGGTTAACACATCTATTATAAGCTTCTTATCCTCTTTTGAATGCTTTTCTAAGGAGCTTTTATTTCTTTTTTTTATCTCTTGCATCATTTTTTCTAGGTATTCATGTAGACTTTAGAGAAAATTTACTTTTTCCCCTTTAAGTTATTGTTGCAGTTGTCATGAAGTTAGATTTTTTTTTCTTTTGATTTGTTCATCTCTCTAGCTTTCATTCCAGACTTGGAGCTTTGTGCTAGGGCCAAACTCTTCTCCTTATTGTGATTTTGGGTGGAATGAGGGACCCTGAGTGGTCTCACCTCAGGTCCACTGGATCTTTGTGATTCTATGTTTAGGCATTCCTAGATTTTTGAAGTTCATAATATTAGAGCTTTAAGGCCTTCTCTGGCATCTAAAGTTCAGAATGTTTCCATCTGTTATTGTTGGCCTACATTAATATTTATTTATCTGGTAGGGCCCATTTCCTCTTGGCATAGGCTTCTAGCTGATTTTTTGTGTACTTCTTGAGTTGAAGTCACTTCCTGCCATTTTACATTAGATTTCTGACTGTTTTTAGGTTTCTGCTGGAGTAGGATGTGGGATGATGGAGTTCAGCTGCCTACTTCCCTTCAAGCAGAGGACTTTACTAGAATCCTATCACTCTTCTTCTTTTAATAAGCACCAGCTAGGTAAAGTAGTGTAAAATGGGTTGAATTTGTAGTCAGAAGGTCTGGGTTCAAATCTTGTCTCACTCATATTAGGTGAAGCCCAAGGCAAGTCATGTAACTTCTCAAACTCAACAAAATGAAGATGATAATAATAGCGCTTACCTCACATGATCATTTTGAGGATGAAATGAGAAAATATATACAATGCTCTTGCAAACCTTGAAGCGCTATATAAATGTTACCTACTTATTATATGTCTCATAACTGAATCATTTGTATCAGGTATAGTGCAGGCCGTACTGAACTTAATGTCAAAAGACCTAAGTTCATATCTGATCTTACACTTACTAGTTATGTTATCCTGGGCAAGTAACCTGAGCAGTTTGAGTCCCATTTTTCTTTTCTGCAAATTGGTAATAATAATACTAAGAAACTTAATCTACTGATTGTATGTGAAGCCTAAGACTTCCAAAGATGGTTTTATCTCCTTTCTCTGTGATATATTCCTACAAGTGCAGTAGAAATTATGTCCAGAAGTTACAGAAAGATAAATATATTAACCCACTTCCCCAAATCTCTTGACAAGCTCATTGAGAAAACATTGTATATAAATACATGTACTTAACATACATGCTTCTTTGTGTCACTAAAAGTAAATCAGATATTTTAAATTTAAAAGAATAATAAAATTTTTAAAAGAATGTTTCCCACAATCATCTGCATCTTTGTGGAAATACTTTATTCTTTTCTCTGGAATAGCATGACCAGTCCCCTGAATAGTTGCAGTAGCATTCATTTTTCATTCAGTTGAGTAGATGCTTTTAAATTATGCATTGTTACAGATAATGTGTTTTTGTACTATTTAATTAGAGGTTAATTGAACAGGGCACATTGAGATCCCTAAAATAAGCAAGATGAAGTACTTGATTAAAAACTGAAAAGAGATTCTGTTTTCCCCCAGGTAACAACCTTTCTATCACATACTCTATAAACTATGTAACAATGAAGGTTTATCAAAATAAATGAATATCATTGCTTATTACATCAAATTATTCTTTTTTTCAGATTCATGAAGATAACAGAAATGAAGGTCTTGAAAGTGAGTATGTAGAAAAAATGGAAGATTTGATACCTGCAGCCTCTCCATTTTGTTCTGGTAAGTTTTATGTTTCTTACCAGGTAGAATTTAATCATTGTGGAGAATCTGAGTAAATATTATCTGTTCAGTGGCAACATAGCAGAGATGCATATATTTAGTAATAAATTGTATTTGAAAAGCTATTATCACCACTTTGAGTCTAAGCATTTTATCTTAGTTGAATGGTTTTAATTTCCCTAAAGAAAATAAATGTTATGTATCCACTCTATTATTCCCCAAAGACCATGTGATCTACTGGAAAGAGCACCAGGATTTAAGTTATAAATTTATTTAACTAACTACGTGACCTTAGGTAAATTATTTAATCTCCCACCTCATATTCTACAAAATTTAAAAAAATTGGACTAGATGGTCTCTGAGGCAATTTCCAGTTATAAAATCCCACATTTCATTCTCATTTGACCCTGAAGCACAAAAGCAGCCATATGGACAAGCCACTTAAATTCTATGAACCTCAGTTTCCCTATCCATAAAATGGGGATAATAACAGCATAAATGTATCCCTGATCATTTGTGGGAATGAAATGTAGTGAACAAGGGACTGAATGCAGACACAGGAAGACCTAGATTCCATTCCTTCCTCTAGCAATGATTGGCTTCATAATCCTGGATTTTGAAGTAGAGAAGGAAATTCTCTAAGACTACAAATCACACAACAACATTGTTTGGATGATTTTCCTTCTGGAGCTCTCCCTATACCAATGGCATCAAAGGTCTAGTTAAAAAATACAACAACAACAACAACAGAAATAATATGTTGGGGCACTTACTGTGACTTCATAACTTCAGATTTTCAAATTCAGCCTTTTTTAAAGAAGTTACTTCTCTCAAACAAAGAGATTCTCTCCTTTGCAAAAACAATACCTAAGCCTAAAGTTTTAATGTGGTGCTGCTGGTGATCACAGGACGCATCGTTCAAACTACAAGGCTTGTGTTTTTCCTAAGGTTGAGATGGGAATCTCCACTCAAGTTGTGACAGATCAAATATAATTTCCATCATCATCATAATTAGCAATAATAGTGATTATAATGATTCCTTATAATAGTAACTCTTCACCTGTATACACTCATTGGAAAAGACCCTGTTGTTGGGAAAGATCGAAGGCAAAAGGAAAAGGGTATGGCAGAGGATGAGATGGATAAATGGTGTCATGGAAACAACAAATGTAAGCATGAACAGACTTCAAGAGATAATGGAGGATAGAAGAGCCTGGCAAGCTATGGCCTGTGAGGTCACAAAGAGTCAGCATTACTAAATGACTGAACAACAATATCACCTTTGTACAGCACTCCTAGTTCTGCAAATTTACCATTTGCCAACTGTGTGATTAGGGTAGTACATGTATTATTTACCCTATTTTATAAGTAAGGCAATTCAGATGTAGAGAGGTGAAATTATTTCTCCTAGTCACATGGGTATAAGTAGAATTGTAAATCAGGTCTTCTGACTTCAAATCTAGAACTCTTCCACTACAGCGTAGTGCCTATCTCATTAAAATTTCTGTGCTTACTTATTAACAAAAAAGGATTTATAAATACGGTATCTTAGAGCATTTAAAAAATAAACACTTCCAGACTGAATAATATTTAAGAAATCCAGTGAGAAACCATAGTAAGTGGCACCACTTACCCCAAATCTTTACAAAAAGTCAGCCATAAGTCTATAGACAATAGAAAAGGGGGCACCTCAGGCAAATCAAGAATGAACAGAGATGAGAAAGATGGACCTGACAAGGCTCTTTGACCACCTTGTAGATATATAAGGTGGTCAAAAAGTTCCAGGATGACGACCTTGGGAGCCCCATGGAGGAACAGCAAGCAAGTACTGGTGAAGCACCAACCCTTAGACTCGGAAAGCATAGACTTGTGAGTTCTATGATCTCTAAAACACTGTCTTAAGATGCCAGAGAGGGTTGCGAATATCCCATACTCTGCACCTCAAAATTCCAGAGTGTTCTTATCCCAGGAGGTCAGCACAAGGATCCAGGAAACCCAAGGTGAGACCGTGCATCAATTGCTATCAAAATTATTGCTAATCTAACTCCATAGCAATGGCTAACAGAAAGGCAAAGGAAAAAATGGATTTTCTATGAGGACTGCATGAATAGCTAGAAGAAATGAAACAAAAGATTTGAAAAAAATAATCTCTTAAGGAAAAAAATTGGAAGGGAAATAAGAATAGAACAGAATGTATTAAACTCTACTCATGTTAATGGAATCTTTGAAAACTAAAATAAACAAAAGCGAATCTAGAAGCAAGAAATAGTAGAAAAAATCTTAAAAGATTAAAAATAAAAGAAAATTTAAGATCTCTACCATCAAATAAAATTGATCTAGAAAATGGGCCAAGGAGAAACTCCACATGATTAAAGCAGAGCTCATTATCTTTTCCCCTAAACCTTACCTACCTCCTATCTTCACTGTTACTTTAGATGTCAACAGCATCCTTCCAGTCCCTCAGGTTCCCAACTTGGGACTCATCCTGAACTTACTATTTCTCATACCCCATATCTAAGTTGTTTACAGGCCTGTCGACTTCCTCTTTGCAGCATCTCTCAAATATGCCTTCCTCTTTCCTCTGACACTGTCATTACTCTGGAACATGCCCTCATTATCTCATTCTTAGACTATTATAATAGCTTGCTGTTGGGTTTGTTTTCCTCAAGTTTTCCTGTACTATAATCCAACTTCCATTCAGCCACCAGAATGATTTCCCTGAAGTACATGTCTGACCATGTCACCTCCCTACTCAGTAAAGTCCAGTGACTTTCTATTGCATCCAAGATCACATAGAAAATCATGTGTTTCATGTTCAAAACCCTTCATAACCTAAACTCTTCCTTGTCTTTCACGTATTCTTATGCTTTATTATCTGTCACATACTCTTCAATTCAATGACATAGGTCTCTTTACTGTTTCATGAATGAGACACTCTATCTCTGGACCCCTGGCATTTTCCCTGACTCTACCCCATGCCTGAAATGACCTCCATCTTCATCTCCACCTACCAGCTTCCCTGACTTTATTTAAGTCCCAGCTAAGCTCCCCCAGGAAATCTTTCCCAACCCCTCTTAATTCTAATGACTTCTCTCTTTTAATTTTCCCCTATATTCATCCTGTATACAGCTTGTTCATACATAATTATTTGCTTTTTATCACTCCTATATGAGCTCCTTGAGGGGCAGGGTCAGACTTTTGTCTCTTTTGGTATCCCCAGTGCTTAGCATAGTGCTTGGTACATTGTTATTATTGTTCATTCATGTCCAACTCTTTATGGCCTGATTTGGGGTTTTCTTGGCAAAGATACTGGAGTGGTTTGCTGTTTCCTTCCCCAGATCATTTTATAGATGAGTAAACCAAGGCAAACAAGGTTAAGTGACTTACCCATAGTCACATAGTTAGTGTTTGAGGCTGGATTCAAACTCAGGTTTTCCTGACTCCATGCCCAGCATTCTGTCTGCTGTACCACCTAGCTGCCCTACCTCTGTGTGTGTGTGTGTGTGTGTGTGTGTGTGTGTGTGTGTGTGTGTGT